ATTATTCAGTCCTGAATGTTTGCTGTGATTATCTGGGCCAATTGCATCTTCTTTCTCCATCTGGATGCCTGCCCTGTAACCAGTTCATTATCAACCAGCCTGGTAAACAGAGTGGACTAAGAAAGATGAGGAAAGCTCATACAGATTTCTTTAATTTTTTTAAAAAAATAATTGACTCTGTTTTTTAATAGTGTGTGATATTTTCTATCCAAATGTCACCATTTTCCTACTTTTAATTTGTATCACCTCAAATATAACCACTTACTCTCTCACACAATAAAACCTAAACTATTGAGGGGAGTTGTTTTCAAGGTTTCAATCTTCAGAACTCATTGCAGGAGTTAAAAACTTCCCAGGCAGAGTTTCAAAGGCAAATGCAAAAAGGGACACCTGCATCCAGTTTTGGTGGGGGTTCTTGGCTTTACTTTCTTAATTTCAGGCTGCAGAATCAGTTTGAGTGATAATTGTGTCACAGTTTCGCCTTTTTGTTAATTTGTTTCAGGGCATCTGTCCTCCTTTCCCAGGTCACATGAGCTGGGTTGATCACTACGACAGTAAGGGCTGTAGCCCAAGTTTTAGGAACAATTAAAGTGTTGTACATAAGGCAGATGTCGTACTTGTGGAGAGCTTGTAAAATGGATGAAGTAGAAGCAAAATTATCCACAGATAGCATTCAAGTCCCCAAGCCACCCTACCACTTATGGACAGTTCATTAGGAAGGGTCGAGAGGAATGGCATAATGTCTTAGTTAAGTGAATAGAAGTTAAATTCTCTTTCTCCCTGACCCCAAGCCTCCCCATGCTATTTAAATGAGTGTAGATAAGCTTTGCCAACCATTATTATATGGACCTTGGACAAATTTTACCTGCTTTTGCTTTAGTTTCCACATATGTAAATGAGATTAAGAATAAGAGAATCATAGAGTAAAGGATCTGTGGTTGTGAGAGCTGTGCTGCTATTCCAAAGGCACATGGTTCAAATTCACCAACTGTCACCAGGGAGAAAAGGGGGCAATCAACTCCTGTGTGATTTGTTATCTTTGAAAATTTGCTGGAGAGTCAGCTATAGATTGATTCTGACTCAATGGTATACAACAACAACAATTATAGAGTTACTGTGATGTTTCAGTGCATTGATCTTTACAAAATATCTAGAATAGTACTGGGGTGTCAAAACCCATGAAAATTGGTTTTTCTGGCCATTGTGTTAGTCCCCATTGAGGGCATGATCTTGAACTACTGTAACGGAAGACATATGGTCTTGTAAATCATCAACAGCTACGGCGCCAATATGAGAAAGTGCTTTCCACATTGTCAAAAATGATGGTGATAGTGGTGGAGAGATTGTGAAGAAACTGTGGCACAGAAGAGACTGTGACAAGGTGTAATCAGAGAAACCCTGGAGATAAAGGCCACAGTTAAAGGTTTTGTTTGTTGAATGATTGAAGAAAAAACTGACTTATAATTGCTTTGAGATAAAGTTTGCTGGATGATTAAGGAAACTAGAGGCTTCTTATATTTGTATTGTTTAACTGAACCTGGACGTCATCTAGTTGAGAACTTGTGCCTTGTTAGTCTGGCTTGGAACTGCTAGACTAAACCTGGACTTACACTATAAGATATTCTTTACCTCCTCCAGTCTTGAACCTACTAAACCCCAGAGCTAATTTCCCTAATAACCCCCACAACTGTGAATAAAGTCTGTGAGTCTTATAACGAACATCAGACCCAATTATTAGCAAAAATAGATGCAGGAGCATGTGGAGAGACCAATTTGAAGTATCATGATAAATGGTTAAGAGGTTGAGATTGTTAACAGTGTCAGCTTGCTTGGGCACATGATAACCATTCTTGGTACCAGCATCCAAGAAATTTAAAAAAATGAATTACATTGGGGAAAATCTGCTGTCAAGGACATCTCCAGAGTACTGAAGAGCAAGGATGTCCTTCTAGAGACTAAGGTGCACCTGATCTAGGCCATGGTATTCACAATTACTTTCTATGCATCAGGAAGCTAGACAGTGACTAAAGATGATAAAAGAATTGATGTCTTTGAGTTGTGGTGTTGGAGAAGAGTAATGAATATACCATGGACTGCTAGGAGAACAAACAGGTTCATCCTAGAGAGGATGAAAACAGGCTGCTCCTTGGAGGCAAGGATTCTGAAGCTTTGTCTGACATACTTTGGGCATGCTGTAAGGAGGGACCAGACCTTGGAGAAGGACGTCATGCTTGGAAGGGTACAGGGACAGCACAGAGAGGAAGACCCTGGATGAGATGGATTGAGTTGGTGACTGGGGTAATGGGTGTAGGTGTGTCAGAAATAGTAAAGTTGGCTCAAGATAGAGCAGGGTTCAAAGCTGTTTACATGAGGGTCACTATGAGTTGCAAGTGACTCAATAGCACATAACAATAAAAACATGGATATTATTGATGGAGAAAGTTCCCCCTTATGAAGCAAGTAGAAGTCAGACTCCGCCATCCCCACGTTGCATCGTCTCCTTCTGCAAGTATCTACATAATCTAAGAGCTACATATGTATTTATCAAATAAAATTAGAAGCCAGATGAGAAAGGGGTCTAAATTGATAATGAGCTAAAGTACCAGGCCATCAGCACCCTGGGAGTTGGAAGCAGATGTTGCTACCTAAATCAACAGAATGCTTGATTTACACCTTTATAGATCTCATATTCATAGATGAAAACCCATTCCCAGGTGCTAAGCGGAAAAAAGGAAGCACAAAAGATTTGTCACAGCCAACATCTATGGGAGACCATTATTCCATTATCTATGCTGTGATGAGAACAGGGGGCCAAGGGCTTGGTTCATGGTTGCCTGGAGAAGAACAACACATGACTGGCTGGTTTGTTAGAGGTGGTCTGAGCACCAGTTCACCTCTCACCCCAACTGGGACAGCTTGCTACAGGCGAGCAAATCAGCAGCAGCCAGAAGTGGCAGCTCAGGAGAAACCGAAAGACACAAAGACACACTATGGGTGGTGAGACTTCGGCCAACTCCATTTCACAGTTATTGAAACTGAAACTCAGAAAGGAGCAACAAAGAGGGAAGATCCTGAAACAGATAGAACTTAAGGAAGGCGTACGAAAAAGAAGACAAAATTATAAATACACAATGCCTACCATCTTGAAAACATGCCACAATGAGAAAAGAAGGTGATCGAGGACATGCTGAGATGGAAAAGGACTGGGCTGTTAACTTTTTGTGGTTAAAAATACTTCTGTAACTTCACCAAAGAAGACATTCAGATGGCTCAGATGACCAACAAGCATATGAAGAAATGTTCAAAATTCCTAGCTCTAAGAGAGATGCAAATCAAAACAGCTATGAGATATCATCTCACCCCAGTCAGAATAGCAAAGTTTAACAGAACTGCAAGCAACAAATGCTGGCGAGGTTGTGGAGAAACTGGAACCCTTATTTCCTGTTGGTGGGAGTGTAAAATTGTGCAACCCCTGTGGAAGGCGGTATGGCACTTTCTCAAAAAGTTGCAAATAGAGATACCATCTGACCCAGCAATTCCACTACTGGGAATATATCCCAAAGAGACCATAACTGACATCCAAACAGATATATACACACCCAAGTTTATCGCGGCTCTGTTCACAATAGCAAGGAAACAACCCAGGTGCCCATCAACAAACTAATGGATAGAGAAGCTGTGGTATATTCACACAATGGAATACTATGCTGCATTGAAAAACAAGGAACTCATGCAATATTATTCAAAATGGGTGAGCCTGGAGGACATTCTGCTGAGTGAAATATCTCAGTCACAAAAAGGACAACTATTGCATGGTGCCACTGATGTAAAATGGGACTAATATCAGGGTTGGGGTAAGACTGAGAAAAACTGGATAAATTGTGTATACTGCACTGAAACAGATGAGGGAGTGAATAATTTAAAAGCAATGTATGATAGGGTATTATGATTATCACAAGAGTCCACAATTAAGGTTGCATAGTGGAATGTACTTGGGGTGGTGGGAGGGGTGCAGGGGGATTGTGTACCAGGGAGAAAGTGTTTCTTTTACTTTTGAAAGAGAGGAGCAAACTAGGGGGGTATGGGGGGACGGCTGGGTGGGGAGAGAAGTGCAGCAATGAATGAATGGAAATCCAAAATATCTGTAAATGTTCATTAAAATTATTTTAAAAAATGCTTTTGTAAATTTTGCCCAAATTTGGGACATGTAATCGCACTGTACAGGCCCCTCATGTCATTAAAATATCTGACCCAAAGTTTATCAAAACACCTGACACTTGCCTACTCTGTGAGGGTCCCACACAGTCTTGGACAGGGTGCTAGAGAAGGATTGTGCATGTGGAAGGCCTGAGGCTTCAGTTTCATTAGCTTTCTGATGCCTCTGCTGATGGGACTACCTAAAGTCACTGAAGTATGAAAAAGAATTGAATCTCTTCATCTGCCCTGTATGCAACCATAATTATGGTCTGAGGGGATGGGTTGGTAAAGAAAGGAGTGGAGAGGGAAAGGGATGGCAGGGAACATGCAAATCAATGCTCCCAAGTGGAGGGAGCCCTTTGGAAGTCTGTCAACGGTTTCCTAAGGGTCTGAGGATGTTAGTTAAGATAGGGATGGAAAAGACCAGAAAGGAGCAGACGGAGCAAAAGGAGCAAGCATCGGGGGGTCAGTCCAGGGCCTTATTTGGCTCTCTGGACATTGTTGGACAGTCTACTATGCTGTCCAGATAGGGGGGATGAGGATGTCCAGGACCACAGATAGAAGATGCCACAGGAAGGGCATGCACACAAGCAGTAAGCCTGGTTCAGCCAGTCACTAGCAGAGACACTTGTGCTCAATCACTATCTTCATCTTCAGCAACGTCTTTATACTCATGGCGTTGTGCAACTCTGGGTAGAAAGTGAGCAAAACCCACCACGTTTCAGGCCTGAACTTAAAATGTTCAGATTCCTCAAAAGCCAGTGGAGGGATGCTCGATCTCTGCAAAGCCAAAGGATTCTTACCGAAGAGCAGGACAGCCATCACCAAGAAAGTTTTGAGCTCCATAGTGCTAGAGGCAAGAAAGAAAAGATAAAATTTTATTAGAAAGCAAAACTAAAAACGAATCTTCACCAAAACATGACAAGTAGAGTTTGGGATTTAGGTTTATGAATGTTGCAGAGACAATGCTGTGTGTTCACCCAAGCTATTTCCCTTTCTCTTAGCTTCACAGAGAACATTCTTTCTAGCCGCCTTTGCTCTTTGGCAGATCACGTGACTGCATTTCAACCAATGAACCATGGGCCGCATGGGGAGAAAAGGAGGCTGTTTCTTCCAGATCTGGTCTCTAAAGCTTCCCATCCTCTCCTGCTTTCTTTGATGCAAAGGATCCAGAAGGGAGTATAAGAACTTTGAAGACAGCAGAGTCTTACTTTGTCCACAGAATGAAACAGACCCTTCCTACTCTCTCTTGATGTATACCAGATGTGATGTGAGTGAATAAGAAATATTTACTGTCTTAGCTATAGAGATGTTTGGGAGTCAGAAGCCAAATGAAGAATATTTATGTTTATACATTATCCTTCCTTTGGTGTTATGGTTCTTAAACTTTAATGTACATAAAAATACCTGGTGAGCCTGTTAAACTTCTCTGATTGTCATCCCCAGAGATCTTAATTTAGTAAGTTGGGATGCAGTCCATGAATCTTTATTTTTAACAAAAATCACAGGTGATGCAAATGCTGTTGGTCCAAGGAACAATACACTTTGAAAACTACAGAGTGGATTATTTACAAAAGCTACAGGATGGAGCCCAGTAAAATGACATCTGTGATTTTATAAACTCTTCCAGTCTTCCTTCCTCTCTCCCCTCCCTTCCATCTCCACTCACTAACTGCAGTTTATACAAAAAAGCAATGGAGAGTGACTTACAGAGAAGCATACAATTAGGACAGATGAGTCACATGAGTGAAAGTACAAACCCAAGCTCAGGAACATAAAATGGGGCCAAGCACTGAATGTGTACAGCTGACATCTCCTCTGACACAGTATGAAACACAAATTGGGCTTTGCAGCTTTTCAACAGTTGGTGTGAAAAGGGAAGCCTGATCAGGGAATAAATTCATAGCACTATCCATATGAAAACAAATCAAAGTTCAGGAAAAAAATGTAAAGCAAATTGCAATGCAGTTATTATTGATGTTAGGTGCTATTGAGTCAGCCATGCTGCACAGCTAGCCAGGAACAACACATCTGAACCCTGCCCTGTCCTGTGCCATCCTCATCATATCTGATATACTTGAGCCCATTGTTGGCAGTGACTGTGTCAAGAGCAGAAAGAAATTTCTAGTTTAAGGAGTGGTTTCATTTGAAGTCATCTCTGATCTCTTTGGGCTGTGCTAGACACCCTTCTGTTTCTGTGAAACAGGATATTTGATATTAAGCTGAGTATTTCAGTTGTATTTCTCTAGGGTGCTCTGGTGGCCTAGTGGTAAGAAGCTGCACTACAATCCTGAAGGCACGTAGTTCAAATCCACCAGCTGCTCCACGGGAGAAGGATCTTGATTGTTTAAGTTAAATAAAATTCTAACAGTGTGAATCTACAAATATTACTACATTTTACATGTTTACAGGGAAAGCTGAAAAGTTTATCATTACATCCAAATCAGAACTGACACACAGCTGACCGTCATTTGGGTGTATGAGGCTGTAAATCTCATGGGAGAAGATTGCTCTTCTTTCTCCTGTGGAGCTGCTGGTGGATTCGTACTACCAGAGAGGTATGGTCTTTGGGTTGTTGTTGGTTAGGTGCTTTTGAGTCCACTATGACTCACAGTGACCTTATGAGCAACAGAGCAGAACCTTGCCCTACTTTGTGCCCATGATCTCTACCATATTCAAGTCCATTGATACAATCACTGTGTCAATCCATCTTGTTGAAGTTTTTCCTCCAACTTCCCCAGCATGTCTCTTTTTCAAGAACTGGCCCCTCCTGGCAATCTCTGGGTTGGCAGTGCCCTTTGGCATTTGTGTTAGCAGCACAAATCCCTATGGGCTAGGCCAAAATTCTCTATAAGAAAAGCAATTTTTCCCTCCATAAACAATATCATTCTCCTCCATAGATGTCACTGGGAAGTCTACATTACCGGCTACCAGTTTCTTGCCTCTACTTACTATTAACAATTCATTGCAATTGAGTCAGAACTAACTCATAGCTGGCCCTCCAGTGTGTTTGCAGAGGTTGCAAATTGCATGGGAAGATATTTCCCATATTTCTCTCAAGGAGCATCTAGTGGATTACTCAGGGCAAAACCAAAATATACACCCATAGCTTTTTTTCTTTCTTTTTAAAAACAAGTGGTACCATACTACATAGACTGTGTTACACATATAACAACCACAATAGAGACCGACTCTGTCAGTATGACATCCATGAATTTATATCTTCCTGTCTTCTTTCCATGGAATGAAGACAATTCATTCTTTGAATGAAGATAATGAGTATCTCCATTGCATTCAATGATTGATCATAGTTTATTGTTGTTAGGGATCCCTGAATTATATTCAGCAACCTTGTATAAAACAGAATGACACATTACCCAGGCCTGTGCCTTCCTCATAACTGTGGTACTCACTGCTGGAAAAAAAACCAACCAAAAAACAAAAAAACACTTGAGCTCACTATTGCAACCACTGTGTTAATCCATCTCTTTGAAGGTCTTCCTCTTTTTCTCTGATCCTTAGCTTTATCAAACATAATGTCCTTCTCCAGAGACTTTTAGATTGTTTCCATTATTTTTTCAGTAATGAATAACCTTTGAACATATGCTGCCCTGCATGTATGGGGATAGGTTATAGTCATAGAATTGCTTGAGCAAAGGGTAAACAAATACTATAATTTTAATTTTAATATAATTTTAATTTTCATATATATAGACAAAATGCTCTCCCTTAAGATAAATGGGAGCTCTGGTGGCCTAGTGGCAAGAAGCCACACAGCAACTCCGAAGCACACAGTTCAAATCCACCAGCTGCTCCACTGGAAAAGCATGGGCAATCTCCTCCCCGTGATTAACTGCCTTTGAAAACCCACTGGAGTGTCAGCTATGGGTCAGTTCCAACTTGATGGTACACAACAACAACAGAGATCTATCAGTTTATTCTCCACCACACAAAACCTGAGAGAGTTTTCTGTCACATGTCTCTTGCCAGCATAGTGTGTTCTCAATTTTGTGACTGCCAGTAGAGAAGGTGAAATGGCACCTCTTTGTAATTTTTTAAAATTTATTTTAATATTTTTTCTCTTTGTAATTTTAAAATGAATTTTCTTTCTTACACATAAGTAAAAGCATCTTTTTACATGTATAAGAAATAGTCATTCCTGTTCTAGGGATGGTCTACAAACTCCTTTTGCCCACTTTTGAGTTGTTAATCTTTCAATTATTTTTGTTATTGATTTGTAAGAACCTTTTTAGCATAGGAAATGAGTGCTTTATGATAACAAGGTGTAAAATGTTGGTAGTTGTGGAAATATTCCAACATAGGAACTGAACTGTTGGTTCCAATTGCTCTCTCCTTTTTCTCTAGTGACCTTCACAGGTCTCAAGGCTTGGACATGACTGGTTGGGTCAAGCATGTCACCATCTTGACCCGACAGAGGAGCCTGGGGCAGAGTTCTACTTGATGCCTGTGTGCTTCCACAGAGGAAACCTTCAACTGTGATCATAGAATCAGGGGGTGAAGAGCTCTTTAAATTATGAACCTGGAGAAAGGATGAAAGTCACACAAGTGTTAAGGACTTGCATTCATAGGGTTATTATGAGTCACCTACAACTCAAAGACATTTAACAACAATAATATCAACATAGAGAGTGAGAGTGATCCATTGGCCCAGTGGACAGAAAGTGATGCTGCCAAGCCAAAGGTGGGTGACTTTTAATCTGTGGCCTGCAGGCCTATTTTTCATTGTTTTTGTTCAATTATTCTTCTAGGTCGTATAGGTCTGGTGTGACCACTTGCCATTCAGAGGTATCTTGTGGTTGCTGTGAAGCTGAACACTGTGGCACTGATGTGTCAAACGTGTTAATGGTTACCCATGGTAGACAGTGTTTGGTGGTGCTCCCCAAATAAAACAAGCTTGGAAGCAGGAGTAGCATCCACTTCCACAATAGCTTGCCTCTGGAAACCCTATGAACCTGGAGAAAGGATGAAAGTCACACAAGTGTTGAGGACTTTTGTTCATAGGGTCGCTATGAGTCACCTACGACTTGACAGCACTTAACAACAGCAACAACAATGTAGAAATCTTCTATTGTTTAAAAATCAGAAATTTAGGTTGCTTATCTCAATCACATGCTTTTTTTCTGATTTGTAATTTTGGATGATACATCCATCAGGGACACAAAATCAAATTATACTTTACTCTAAATTTAACCTTTAACTATTGTTGAATTTGAGATGGTTACATGGTCCTGGAAAATCTTGGGGAAATTACCCTTTTAATTTTTATACAATGGGTAAAAGATCATCAGGTTCTTTAGATAGGCAATAATGCTGCTGTAAACATTAGTGGACAAGTTCTCCATTTGTGCCGCAGTCCTCCTTCTCTCAGGTAGATTCCAAGGAGTAGAATACGTGGGTCATATGGAATTTTTTTTCATTTCAACATAGTTGAATTTTTGTGTGAAATTTGTATGAAATTTTTGTGAAAATGAAATTTTGTGTGACTTTCATTATCTAAATCAAAGACAGCCTATACAAAAGGATGAATATAATAGCATGTTCTTGTTCCAGAATTTTTCGCTGTATGAACACATGCATCTTTGTTTTGCTGGTAAATTTGTACTTTAAAATGAGAAATAATTTCAACTTATTTAGATAATGAAAATAATCTGTTTGGGGTATTTTATGAAAGTTATCTGGTTTACTTTCTTATTAATGATCTTTCCCAAGCTCCTCAAGTTAAATAGAGGCTTTTGTTGTTTGATTTTATTTACTTTTTAAAAATTGATATTTTAATGATAGTTTATAGAGAACTTAATTTTAACTTAATTTTTCTCAACTTATTA